CGCCCCTCCAATAGTGGGGCGCCACTTGACATTTTGTAATCCATTTTGTACCTGTAGCATGCTCCTTTATTTAGTCCATCATATTAATTAGTCATGTCTTTTAAATGAAATAAAAGATCAAACTCAAAAAAGAACGGAATTTTTTTTGTTGAATTTTTGGATTTTTAATTTTTTGAGGCCCCTCAAGAATTGAGGCCCAAGGCAGCCCTACCGAGGGGGTGAAATTGAGGACATGGGCATTCAACTACACGCTCGTCAATATTCATTGTTATTTTTTTTCCTTTAGTTTTCTCGTATTTATGGAATGAGGAGAGAAGATGGGATTACACCCACTGAACGGACATTTCGTGGCCGAGGTAAAATTTCAATTTGAAATCGATTTGACTTCTATAAGAGAAATTGATCCAAGTCAATTCAGATTTGTTCAAATTGTCGATTTCAATAATATTTTATCGTTGAAATCTTTTTTTTCTTTAATTCTCAAGCTTAAATCGAGGTTTCTCCCAACCTGAAAATCGACACGCCTCTTTTTGAATTCGACCAAAATCGACTTGAATCAGATCATTTTTCGACCAAAATCGACTATTCAAAACTTTTTTTTTTTAATGCAATTTTAAAACAGAAGCTATTTTGGATTTTCTTGTAAAAGTCAAAATAGCCATTTTGGCCGTTGAATTTTTTATTTTATATAATTAACTTTGCCATTTCAATCTAACATCACGAAGTATCACGCTATCATTTAATAACGAGGGTCGTGCTTCAAAGCATGGTTATCCAGCCGAGAAATCGATGATCCGGACCGGGGTAGATTAATTTAATAGAAATGCACGACAGTCAAAAACGGCTTTTACCTAGTTAATCGACGGATTAATTTATCAATTTTCAAAATTGCCTTTTAAAATTTTTTGAGTCAAAGAAATTGAACATTTGACCTCTAAGTAAAACAATTAGTTCCTATAGAGCACTTTAATATTTTATACGTGCAATAAGTTATATATATTTAATGAATCATATATACATGTTCTAAAAATATTTTTATAAAAAACTTTGATCAACATTTTACTTTATTTTATAAACCTAAAATAATTAGTAAAAAATAACTTCAAAAAATATAAGTTTGCCTGAAAAAAAGAATTTATACTTATAATTTTTTATTTTTTTATATAGATTTTTATGCAATGACCCATAAGTCCAACCATTGACACACCGATTCAACCAATAACCCGAGACCCAGTATCTTGTCCGAGTCGATGCCCAAGTCTGGTCTAATAACTTGCTTCAAAGGTTAAGACTCCATCGAGATTTAGTGAAGCAGTGTATGAATTATCGTGAACCAAAACTAGCTCTTTATATATATATCCCTCTAAATATATACACTTCTAATTGAACAAAATTAAGAAGGAAAAAACGCGTTACAGCATAAATTGATCGTTAATAACTTAATATTATAATAATCCCAGGAAATGTCAGAAATCAGAATGATCATCCATTTTTAGCGTATTGTATTAATGCAAATGGGACATACTATAATCATATTTGATAAGTGTGGAAAAACACACT